CGACCTCCTACAGTGCAAGGATTACAAACATATGCCACTATGGCTGGCCATTCTTTTTTTTCTTTTAACCTGGCCATTTTTTCAGAGTTCTTGATTCAAGAAGTCTAAGATAAGAATCACTAAGTTTCATTTCCAACAATTTTCAATGGTGGCTAGTCCAGGGAACATACTTCGAAAACAAATTGTGTAGAATCCTGTAGCAAGTACTTTTTTTTTTTTTTAGATATTTTTTTTAAATTTATTTGTGTGTGTGTGTGTGTGTGTGTGTGTGTGTGTGTGTGTGTGGCCAGCTCAGCCCACTAGAGGGCGGGGCTGGCATGTGGTGCTGGGGGATTGAACCGTGGTCCCTGTGCTTTGCTAAGCTTGTTCTAAGTAGGTGCTTTAGACCACTGAGCCATCTCACCAGCCCCAAGTACTTTTGAAACTTTCCCATTTCCACATTACTTAGAGTGCCATGGCTCCATTCAATTACTTTTCCTTCTTGTTTCACATTAGTCCTCCCCCTCATCCCTAGACTACTCTGTCCTATGCCCAGCACTAACCCACCCACAAGCAAGAAAAGCATCTCCCTACACCTCTGAGGGCCCAAGACCGCTACTTCCCAAGTCTCCCCTACCTCCTTCCTTCAGAAGCCATTCCTTTATCTTGGTAGCCAAGGACAGAATTTGCAGCCTAGGGCAAGACTTTATGCTCAGTGAGAGGTTTGGGGCAGGCCTGTGTGCTCTTAATCCACCTTTTTCTCCAGATCTGGCACCATGCAGCTTCTGGCTTTTTCCCAAAGTCAAAATGACCATGAAAGTTAAGTGTTTAAAATCTATCCAGGACACTGTAGAAGCCAAGAGAAGCAACTAAGACACAGAACAGAACTTGCAGATGTTTCAAACAGTGATAAGAATGGTGGGATAGCTGTGTTTGAAGTGAAGGGGAGAAGTTCAAGGGGAAACTAACTACAAAATGTGGCTGTTCCTATAATAAAATAGATTTAGTTTAAAATACACATTGTATTTTTCTGCCATACCTCATATGCTACTGTTTTAGTATGCAATTATTGAAGCTTTGAGTTTAACCAAGAAAATACAAAGATAAAACAGTATTACTATGAGTGGACGTTTGAGTCACAAATATGTGAAACTGAAAAACAAACAGGGAGCACCCTCTTCATTGGAAAGCCTTCCAGGAGCAATAGCTTCCCTTTATTTTCTGAGGTGGACCATAATACTTCTCTTACAAAAGAGCTTTTCCTATGCTACTTCCTGGACCTACACAGAAATCAGATATCTCGGGAGTCCCACTACAGAAAGAGGCACTGTGCAAGAAACAGTCATCTGGAAATGCGCGGTCAAATATCTGTTCCTGATTGGCCAGTTCCCTTTCAATCTCCAACTATTTTACTAGACACAGCAATCCTCATCGTGCCTTTTGGTTCTCACTTGGCTTCTGTCCACACATCAGCTCACCAAAGACGACAGACAGGCAGGCAGGCAGATAGGTAGACAGACAAACGAATGGATGACTTGATGGACTGGTGGATGGGCAGATGGACAGACAGATGGATGAACAGAGAGATGGCAGAAGTAAGAGGGTGGGTGGGTGGATGGATGCTATAGCTTTCTTCTAATTTAACTATCAACTTTCAATTTAAGTTTTTCCACAAGAAACGAGCCTGTGCCAATTCCTCTAACTGCACAAAGCCAGTTGGAAGCCATGCCTCATATTCTAGAGTACTGCCATACTCTAGATCTGATCTAGAGCCTTAGGAACTGTAGAATACTGAGGTCAGTTGCTGCAGTAAGAGACAGAAACACATACAAAATCAAGTTGAATAGGCCCAAAATTGGCACCACTCAAATAATTTAATATACACAAGTGATACTAGTATAAATCACACTATTATCTTAGCTTGCTGACATATAAGTGTGTCCAATTTTTTTCACCAATTTGACATGTTTATATCTGGTAATCTGAACAACTAATCTGAAGACAACAACATGCAATATAAGAACCATTGTTGAATTCCAATCCTTTTGCTTAGTGAAATCCTGCATCATTTCTTTTCTCTTTATTTATCGATTGTTTTACTATTTTTTATTATCTTTAAAAAGAAAACAACCGAGGTTTGATTCCTGCTACTGAATGCTGTGCCAGCCACTGAAACTGGGCACGATGGTGCATCCATGTAATCCCAGTGCCGGGGAGCCCAAGAGAGGAGGATTATTATACTCATTACTATGAGTTCAAGCAGTGCAGTGAGACTGTACCAAATGAATAAATGAAAGATTAAAATAAATAAGTAAACAAAAATAAAGCAAGAAGAAAAGAGTGGTTATACCATGGTATGGACTCATCTCAGTAAAAATTGAAGTTGCCGTTGTGTACAGAGACAGCATCTCCAAAGACCCAAATAATGACAGGAACATACCCATGTGTGCACATGCAAATTTCGGAATACAGTCAGTGGCTTGGTAATTCCATTGCTATAACTGCTTTTTTTCCTTCCCCCATTAGACTGCTATGAGAAGTAACTTCTGTTAATTTTCATTTCGCTAGCTGTTAGAAAGATTAGAAAGAAGTAAGGTTTAGAAGCAAACTGATTCCCACTAAGGATTATGGATAACAAATATATAAAGACAATGAAGTGTTGGGCCAAATCGCATGAAATCACACTCCTAATCCTCATTTAAATGCTTATTTTTAAGGGCTTTAGTTATAAAAGTTTTAAAGCCACTCTCTATGTATTTGCTATATTGAAATCTAGGAGACATAGAAAGGAAATAGTTTAGAAGACCATAAAAATTCTGCCATTCAGAAATACTTGGGATGATGCAAAATTATAAACTTTAAGGCCAAAATGATTTTGTAAATAAAATCATTATTAAAAGAATCAGATTGAAGGAGAAACTTAATGGTATTTGGTAGCTAATTACATTAGAACTAGTAAAATTTTGATGCTCATAGCTAAGTGTACCAAACGCAATGCTAAATGCCATATAAAAATGCTAAGATGAAATTTACAGTTTAAAAACACCGAAAGAAGAGGAGACTGGGGCATCTAAACCACTTTTGCACTGTTAATCAGAGTCTCTCTGGAGTTTTCATGTGAATTATTTTCATAAGCCAATTAGAAGTTATCTCACTTTTCCCTTTATAACTACACAGTCTCAGAAACAAAAATAAATAAATAAATAAATAAATAAATAACATAATTATCAAAAGTCT